CTGCTCTTGCCACTAGCTCACTATGGAAGTTGACGGCAAAGTTGAGAGCATCATGAAGAGAACAGCGCTGGTTGCTAACACCTCCAACATGCCCGTGGCTGCTAGAGAGGCTTCCATTTACACAGGTATAAGCTGCCGACGTTACAGAGAACTGCGTCATTGTTAACCTTAACTTTTACTACATACTTAAAAAAAAAAAGTAATTGAAAAGTAATTGAAAAACTTAAAACACTCTAAAATCCTATTCAGAACTTTATGAAAGTAGCTAGTAGTGAGCTAGTGTGTATTTTGTTGTTGTTTTTTCCTCTTCCTGCACAGTATTTTGAAAGTGTCATCAAATGTCAAACTTTTGCCTGTGCAGGGATCACACTGTCTGAATACTTCAGAGATATGGGCTACAATGTGAGCATGATGGCTGATTCGACGTCTCGATGGGCCGAAGCTCTGAGAGAAATCTCTGGAAGACTGGCTGAAATGCCTGCTGGTGAGTTCAGTGGTCACAGTCAAAATCTCAAAACATGTTTGTTTTGTACCTGCTGATCTAGATTAGACATCAGCAGGTACAAAAGTCACCTCATACTGTAGTTCAGTAACATTTATTTCAGGGCTTTTTTTTGTAATATATTTGGTTTATTTTACTAATTCCATTTTGATTCATGTTCTAAAGCACTTTCTTTTTCATTTAACTAGTGAGGATGTACTATTAATCAGGACTTCATTAGGTAACTTCAGGGTTAGCTCTGGGGTTTCTGTACTATGAAGGTGGTTTATTTCTTACCAGGGTATACTGCCAAGGTAACTTATGTTGTGAATTTAACCGGCTCTGGTTCTAGATTAGAGATCAGCAGGTACAAAAGTCACCTCCTACTGACCATTCAGTTCTCCAGAAAATAGTGTCACTATTCCTGAAGGATCATTTGGACATCTGTGTGGAGATAGGAGGGTTTAAAGTCTTTCAATAGTGTCTAATGTTTACCAGTTTACCTGATGAGCGTTGGTAATAAATATATATTCTTAGACAAAAAATTTTTCCCCTTTTATGTAGGGCTGCAATTATACAGTAATTTTATTGTTCTAGAAGTTTTAAGATACAATCCTAAAACAGGACGCCTACACTGTACTTGAAGACCTTCTATCAAATCCGTCTGTAGTCTAAGCCCATGTTTGTTATTTAATCTTTACTCTCAGATGTTAAACAACACTGGAGCTGCAGCTGAAATAAAGGCAAGCGTAAGAACATAATATCGCAGAATATCGGGATGTCGAAATTAAAATGGTATATATGAAAATGAGAAGAATTGCAATGAATGAATCGTTTTAAAAACATAGATGTTAATAATCGCATTGTGTGTGGCAATGTTCGTGTTTCCTTCAGATTGGCCCACCTATTAAGAAAGAGATGGGGGTGCATATATACATACATACACCGCGATTGTTATAGTAAGAAGAAAATTGTGATTGGTTGCCGACACCACCCTTTTCCTGTGAACGTGCAGAGGAAACACTGGGTTAACTTAGCAAGATGATAATTAGCTTTGTTTGACTGCTTATCCTGAGCACCAGTGCTAGTTTAAGTGAGTCCAGATAACAGAAGGATACCCTGGGTATGTTGAACTCACTTCATAGTACAGTTCATTCAGATTTTGTTAAGACCCTCTCACACAGTAGGTAAACTCATGTGAAGCATTTACCTTTGTGTTGCTGGCTGCAGACAGCGGGTATCCGGCTTACCTGGGCGCCAGACTGGCTTCCTTCTATGAGCGTGCTGGACGTGTGAAGTGCCTGGGAAATCCAGAGAGAGAAGGCAGCGTTAGCATCGTAGGAGCGTGAGTTCACATTTATATAAGCAAGTTTGTGCTTTTTGTTTGTTTGTGCACGTTCTGTAGATGGTCATTGACTGCTGCACGTCGTTATATTGAGTTTGCTTCGGTGGGAAAATTAGTTAGAAAATGTAAAGTTTTTCATGTGAAACCTTTAAATAGAATCCAGCAGGTGATTATTTTATTAGTAAACTTTACCTTTAATACTGTGAACTCCTTAGTGTGTCACCTCCTGGTGGAGACTTCTCCGATCCTGTCACTTCAGCCACACTGGGAATCGTTCAGGTAAGTAAAATGTAGAAACTTAATGCAAACATTTGACCGAATTCACCTTAAAGTGAAAGTGTCTCTCTTTTACACTGTCCTGTGTTTTTGTTGTTGTTTGCAGGTGTTCTGGGGGCTGGACAAGAAGCTGGCTCAGAGAAAACACTTCCCGTCTGTAAACTGGCTCATCAGCTACAGCAAGTACACACGAGCTCTGGATGAATATTATGACAAACATTTCCCGGAGTTTGTTCCTCTTCGCACAAAAGCAAAAGAGATTCTACAGGAAGAAGAGGACCTGGCTGAGATTGTGCAGCTTGTTGGCAAAGTGAGTCAGTTTATATTAAATGGTCTAAAACTGTCCCCAGCAGCGCAATGGATCGAACCCAGAATGTCATTACCATGAAGCAACAGTGCTAACCACTGTGTCACTGTGCAGTCTGTGCTCCTTTATGTGTGGAGTTTGTATGCTCAGAGTCTCTCTGGACACACCATCTCTTTCCTACTGTCCAAACACAAGCATGTTAGGTTACAGTATTGAGCCCTACTCTAAAAGACATTGTCACAGATTGAACTCTGCCTCTGTGGCTGAATTTAAAAAATAAGTGTTTAAAGTTGAAGTTTTTAACATAATTATAGCGTTTTCTTGTGAGATACAGAACATGACGTCACAAGGTTGATTATTTTGTGTTTGCTAACTAGTCACATACTGGATAAAACTCAGAGACTAAAACTAAAACAGTTTAAGGGCGTCACTTTTCTGTTGCCCCTGGCTGCTGCGATCACTTTTCTTTTTTTAAGCTACATGCAGTCAAATGGGAGAATCCACCTTTTGGTAATGCACTGGTTTGTCCATTGTTGGGTTGTGTATACAGACTGAGTGACATAATCAGCTGGCAGAGCATGTCTCCTCTCTTGAATACTGCCAGGGTGGTGCAAAAGTGACCCTGCTTTTCATTTTAGTTTCCATGATTTCCACAAAAACTAATAGACTAATGTAAGTCTATTGGCAGCAACCAACAAATTGACTTAGTGAAGTAATATTCTGTACTGCCACATGATGGCGCCACAAATGCTCTACTGCAAACACTCATTTTTTAAAATCCAACTTCACGGATAGTGTTTAATCTGTGACAGTTTTTTTAAGTAGTGTTCAAAGGTGTAAATTAGCGTTAATGCATGTAGTGTTTTATGTCCATTTTAATGACCAATGAACAGTAAATGGTCTGAATTCATGTTAATCATTACAATTTTCATTCAGTTTGAATGCTTTGGAAGTTCTACGAGCTCTGTTACTATGGACTCTAAATGGGTTTAGATCTGTTGATCAGTTTTACCAGATGAAGGTGGGAGATTGAAGAGAGTGAAGTCTGTACATGAGACTGAAGGAACATGTGTTGGTACAAAAGGCCCAGTGTATCAAATGCAATCTAATACTTAATCTCTTTTCATGTATATTTTTTCTAAGCCAAGTTAGTGGATACATTATATGTAAAAAAAAATATATATATATGTGGCAATGACTAGAAAAATATAACAAGAACTCATCTGGTTTTGTTCCCAGGCTTCACTCGCTGAGACTGATAAAATTACTCTAGAAGTTGCTAAGCTCATTAAGGACGACTACCTGCAGCAGAATGGTTATACTCCCTATGACAGGTGAATACAAAGCACTTACATTTAGACAGATTACATTGAAAGTCTTAAAAGAACATGCTGACTCTTGTAATTGTGCATTTTGGATGTTGTATTTTATGATATTACTGTAATTCCCATGAAAACAGGAAAAAGTATTAAACAACATGTGTGTAAATATTCTTTTAGGTTTTGCCCCTTCTACAAAACTGTTGGCATCCTCTCAAACATGATAGCATTTTACGACATGGCCCGACATGCGGTGGAGTCCACAGCTCAGAGTGACAACAAAATCACCTGGGCCATCATCAGGGAAAACATGGGGGAGATCCTGTACAAGATCAGCTCCATGAAGTTCAAGGTACACATTTGTTTCTCATGTGGCAGGAGATGTTTGGTTTTGTTTTGTTTTTTCTTTGCCATATTGATCATCAACCCCCTTAAAAGATTTTGTGCCTTTCATGTATCGTTCAGGATCCTGTCAAGGATGGTGAAGCAAAGATCAAAGGAGACTACGCCCAACTGTTGGAGGACATGCAGAATGCTTTCCGAACCTTGGAGGAGTGAGTTTCCTACCTCTCAGCTTGTCTCTCAGATATCCAGACCCCAGTGCAGTGCAACATAGTAAAGACTGATTGGCCCATGTTCTGAATGTCTGCCACAGTCACATAGTCTTTTTTTTTTCTCCTTGATGTTTACGCCCCTTAAACATTCCATGACCTACACAAATTGTATTTCATTTTGCTGATTTTTGACAAGTTTACTCATAAAAAAAAAACAGTACCGAAATCCCCTTAGGCTGTCTCAGAATATTACTTAAATAAATTCGCCCCAATCAAGTGCTGCACTCGCACTCCACTAGTAGCTGCGAAAAAAGAGTTGATGTCTCTTTCCCCCAGATGTAACAGTGATCAATGCAGATATTTAATCAAATGGGAACATGAACGTGGATAAAGGGACAGAGGCAGTGTATTCAGGGGATGTGAGTTCTTCCACGTCTTACCTCTAAAGTGTGATTGTGATGCTGTGGAATATATACTTGATATTATGTGTAAAATGTGAATGAATGAGATTATTGGTTTGTGTTGTAAAAGAAGTCTTGCTGTTTTGTCCATGGTACATTATTGTCTCCCTAAATAAATGGGAAATAAATAAAGTAGATGGTTTCAGTAAGATTTTATTTCTCATATTTCTTTCAAAACATAAACCAGCAGTTTGAAATCTTTCAAACTTTCATACACAAATTTTGATAATTAATGTAAGAATCGGTCATTGGTGCAACCTTATAAGCACACCTCAATTCAATAAAGGACTCGTTACTGTAGATGGCGCGCAGATAGATTTAGACATATGAACAGATGAGCAGTGAATTATTAGCCCTCGTATGAAACGTAAAGTTTTGTCAACATTTTCTCCAGTGTTTTTTTTTTTTTTTTTTTTTAAATAAAGCAAATTAATTTTCAACATAGCATTTGCAAACATACTAGTTTACTTTAAAAAGCATTAATTGGGGTCAGTATTATAGCTGAACATTTTGTCACCACAGCACAAAACCAGTGTTGTGTAATGATGTGCTGAGTTTCAAACGGGTTGTCTTCCAGTTTACACAAAGTATAAAAACTTCAGTGAGGGTTTGAGCTGTCACTGAAGAAAACGTAATCGTAACAGTAACCAAAGAAATCAGTTTAGACTTGAGAAAAAGAATTGTTGATGCTCACAAACTAGGAGTTGTATATGTAAAGTTATCAAGTGTCAAGAACTGGAATTAGAAGCATAATCAAGGAATTCAAAGAGAGCCACACAGTATTGAACAAATGTGACTCTGGAAAGAAAACTAGTGAGAAACGTGTCTAAAGACCCCAGAACAACTTCAAAAACATGTGAATGACTTAGCCAAGTTGGAAATTGTAGTCTTAAAGAAGACAATCACCAGAGCTGTGTGCAGGAATGGATTTCAAGACTACAGACCAAGAAAAACTCAACTTTTGCACATGAGACACCTTCAAGCCAGACTGAAGTTTGCTAAGAACCTGGAGAACAACTATCTATACTGGAAGCAAGTTCTTTGGTCAGATGAGAAGAAACTAGAGCTCTTTGGCCACAGAGATGCTGCTTATATTTTTAGAAAGACAGGAGAAGCATACAACACAAAGAAGGCCATCCCCACAGTGAAAAGCAGTGGTGGGAGTATTATGCTGTGGGAATGCTTCAGTGCATCTGGAAATGGAGGATATGCCAGTTTCAGATGCCACAAATCTGAGTCACTTAGTCTTCCTATACAACAACAACAACAACCCAAAACATATGTCGCTCCTGGTGAGGAACTACCTTCGAAAGACCAAAATGAGCATTACTGACTGGCCTGCACAAAGCCCTGACTTGAATCCTGTTGAAAATCTGTGGGGTAAACTGAAGACCATGACAGAAGATCATCAAATCTAGAGGAACTTGAGAGATTTACCAAAGAAGAATTGGCCGGGATCGCTGTTATCCTCTAAAAAGGATCGAGAATTGACTATAAGCATCAGTGGTTTTCCATGATGTTTGCAGCAAACTACCTTCAAAGTAAAACGAAAAACTTGTTCTTCTTTTCTCTTTGTCAGTTGACAAATAAAGAGAATTCATGTTATTCTCTTTGAAAGCATCTTAACTCGATATGTGATGCTTTAGTACATTAGAGCACAAATATACAAAATATACGACAAGGAGATGGACTGATTATTACATTTATTTGTCATACTGCATTATCAGCATCTTAGCAGTTTGCTGATGCACAATCTTCAGCATTCACTGTTGGTTCAGTGTATTTCTCTAGCATTAAACCCTCTAAAATAGATTAGAGTCGCTATCTCAGGTTCCGGGCTCCATTAGGACTAATGGAAGCGTAGCCCGCTGGAGAAAGAGCAGCAGCTTTTCTCTGCATTGATTCTGTCCATCCAGTGCAGACACTACCAGCCTATAGCTCATAATGCACCTGCCCCTCTTTCTCTTATTCTTGAATTAGTAATGATTCATGGGGCAGTGTGTGTAAAGAGGACATTAACAAAACTGTAAATGGATTTGCTTATGTGCAAGCGAAAGTGGCATGGACTTTCAAAGCATGTCTAACCTTTTGTTTTGCCACGTTGAAAACAGGATAACCATTATTTCATTATTTAAACTGTTCTTAGTAAAGGTCATACTGGCTATTTTGTCTCTGATAAGATACCTTATGGGTCCTAACGTCTGTCTTTCAGGTTCCAGTGTTTCCCCTTTCACTGAGCTGCAACAGCATTTCATTTTAAAGTTGGTTTATGCTGCAGAGTGACCCAGATCAAGCTCAAGTTGGATAAACTGTCCGCTAAAGTGTTCATAAGCATGAACATGTGTTGTAACTGATGTGAATAAGGACCTTGGCTCCAGGTGAGAAAAGAGAACTTCCCTGCATGGGTCACTGAGCGCACCGTTAGTGTCGGTATCCAGTGTCGTCGCACGAAGAGTGCAATGTGTACAGCGCAGGGCTTAATGAGCGTAAACACAGAGGCCTCCCGTGCGCCTTTGATCCCGCACAAATGCACTCTTCGAGAGTTTTCGGTGGGTGAGCCTCAAGGTCAGGTTGCTTGTGGGAGGAAATATGATGCCAGAGGGTGGGGCTGCCCCGTGGATCATCGCTCAGTCTCTCATCTTTGAGTGCCTGTCATGTTTCTCATACGCACCCTCGTTCGGCTCAGCGTGGATTATCAGGGCTGCTGTTGCAGCTTTTGAATACCTCAACACAGCCTCTCAGCTGTGAGCAGAGGTATGAAAAACTCCTGGCTCTCTCTGGCTCCCTCAACCAAATGAGGGAGGGCCTATATTTGCCAAGCACGCCAGTATTAAAATCTAAAATGATAGCTGATGGAAGCTGTAAGGCAGAAGCAGGCTGAGTATCCCCGAGAACGACTTGTGAACTATTTAATGACATGTGAGAAAGATAGTCTTTGGAAATGTGAGCTGGCAGATGCAACACAATATCAAGCTACTTGTCAGGACTTCAAGTTGCCTTCTGTTGGGACGCTTCCACCATGGGAATGCAAGAAATGAAAACCATCTCACTGCACTGATTCGGTGTCGCCACAGCACCATCGGGGCAGGGACATGCCAATTTCCTTTTTCATCACAAATGACTGATGAGAAACTAGGCTGCGCTTTTCATTTTTTCCCCTTCAGTCACTTGCAGAAGGAGCCTGGTGACAAGGGGTCATCTTCTTAAGCATTTCTCTCCTCATTGTTTGCTGAGGATGGCGTAGCTCTCGTGTAGAAACTGTGAATTTTTTTGAGCCAACGTAGCTTGCTGTTTTTGTGTTTTTGCATTGGAGACAAAAGGTAAGTCAACACAATAAATCTTTTCTTTGTGAGTGTCCCTTATTAACAGTTAACACCTAGAAGTGTTAGATAGTGCTAATTAAGTTATTTCTGAATAATAATGATCTTTAGCAGACAAACTCAGATTGCAATAACTAGTTTTGTCTTTAAAATTATTTTTTTCTGGAAATCCCTGTATAGCTATGTGTCAGATGCCACATAATAAGGTTATAACCACAGATACAAATCAGACTAATGTAATAACTCACACAGACAATAACTCAAAGACATCTCAGAGAGTTTAAGTCTTCGGTTTGCTGGCCCAGATAGTTTGTCCCTGCGGACACCGTGGCCTTGTTTCAACAAATTACATTAGAAGCTCTTGGGGACATAATAAGACTGAGAATACTCTGATTATGGAAATTATATATTTTTTTAAACGGGGATCTTTTAGAGTTACAAGTACAGGTCATGTACGCATTGCTATAATCCGTTTAATACTGTATGTTTTACTCTAATATATAATCTAAATATAAATGTGCTGTTACAGTATTAATAGCATCAACAAGTATGAACACAAATATGCTCTATGTGCTGTTCTACATTGCCAGGTGTCTTTTCTGGTATGTATATTAAGAGTAAAGAAATAGCCAGAGTACTTGGTCAATAAAGCTGATTCTGATTATGTTTTTTGTTTTTACTTATCTTTTGCACTTGTTTATGCATATTTTTTGTAATAGGTGTTAAAAACTTTTTGTAATTTCTTGTATTAAAAATATAATCTTGAAAACGGATCCTAGATTTGTCAGCACTGTTGCTAATTCTCAAAAGCAACCTACTTAGAGCCCAGTAAGCTGGGGTGAGAGCTGTGTGTGTGTGAGCATGTTTGCTTTTCTCTGTGCACTGCAAGTTAATTGTGAGGTCTTTCAAGGCCACGTAAGGAAACAAGGAATCAATAAAGGGTCTTTGTTTGGATAGTTTTTATTGATCATGAAAGGATTACTTGCTTGTGTTTTTTAAGTCATGTATCATGCAAACGCAGCACGCTGTAACTGTGACATCTGTGGCATGCAATGACCTTTTTTTGTTAAATCTCCATCTTTAGCAGGCCATTATGCAATGGCAGAAGTTAAAGCCACCGGAGCCAGATGATCCTATTTGTTGCTGTGAATGCGATCTCTACCAGTACGGATGTTGCTGTGACTGCGAGGATCTGGATGAAGCCTTTAACAGGTATGAAGGTGTGAAGAAATGGGTGAATAAACTAATAATCAAGGAGTGTGTGCTGTATGTGTAGTACTGTTGTTAGAAAGCTACACAAGTAGCCGTTGTTTGTGGGCACTAAGAAAGGTTGGACACAAACCAGATACAAAGGAAGCAGAAAATAGTGTGAGATTTTATGCTATTAGTTTATTGGCTTTCTAAAGAAAGCGAGAGGAGGTGATACCATTCTCATGTCTGTCAATGAAACATGAAACGAATGCCAACAGCTGGATAACAAGCTTAGCTTTAAGACTGGAAATAGTCCACGCACCCACACTGGTTTACTGGCAATGTCTCGCGGCCAAGAAACAGATGAAGTTTCTTTCTTTCTTTTTCTTCTTCTTTGTTTTGCACAGATAAATAAGATCGAGATGGGCCTTAGCTGTGTTGGTAGGGAGTCTACTGACTTCTAATAAAATGAATCAAACTTTCAAAGAGAAAACCAAAGATGCAAATTTACCATATATTTATTGTGATACCTGAATTATTATATTATCATATTAAGTCTTGTAGCAGGATGCTGTTATTTTTTTTATTTAGATTTTTGAATTATGTAAATTCTTAATAATTTGCCACAAACAATTAACTTTACTTCCTAAAATGTGCCAAAATTCACAATGAGAGAGAAAAGGAGGGCACATATCATTCTTTCTTTCTTTTTTTATTCCTTTTTTATTTGGCAGGCCCCTCTTATCGGTTAGAGCGGCTCTAAAAGTTTTCTCTGAGATTACCTGAGAATGCAAAAGTCATATCTTATCTTTCCTATTATTCTAGAGTCAAAGCAAACTATCGTGTATGTCTCAAACCTGAAAAAGCCAACTATGAAATCATTTTACCTTGCATGCAGCTCAAGAATAAATTCCATCAGTGAAAAGGGAAATGATTAGACACATGAATAAACATTTGTCTAATTATAACTCTATGACCACTGTTCTCTGTAGGTGGCTGAAAGTACCATCTAAAAGTACATTTCAGTCTCCTGTATTTGGTGCCATGGCTGAAAATCTGGAAATTTCCCTGATCCCAGCCCTGCTGATGCTGCCTCTCCTGCTGAAGGTTGCAGCGTTGCACTACCTGCTGGGTATAACCGTCCTGACAGCTCTGCCTGGCCTGGTGCTGTGGTACTACTATGCAACGCACCGAAAGAAGAGACGCACCCTCTTCTTCCTCACCCTCGCATTGTACTCTCTAGCCTACATGTATTACCTCTTCATCACAGAGATTTTACCGCGTGGGGACGTCAGCCAGCTGCAGATGTGCACCGTGACCTCTGGGATGATCTTCACTATAGTCTCTCTTATTCACACCAAGAAAGGCCCGGGATTTGTGACTGCTGCCCTTCACAACTCTCACAGTCACAGTCAGGAGGATAAAAAGGAGTCCAAACAAGTAAATAATGGATCTCTCCAATCAGCAGCCTCTCCCTCAGGGACACCAGCAGAGCTGCAAACCCCAAAGGAGGGCCTCGGAGCAAAGTGGAGCAGGTGTCCTTTGTGCAAAATAATGCGACCACCGCGGGCTGGTCATTGTCGAACCTGTGGCTCATGTGTCCAGCGTTTGGACCACCATTGTATCTGGTGGGTCTGACTTCACGTCATGTTTATATATTTCTTTTGCAAGCAAAGCATTGTGTGTTTAATATTCAGTATTCAGTTCAGTTTAGGTTTATTCAGTTGCCTCAAGGTGTTTTATACTGTAAGGTAGAGATTCTCTCGAAAAACCCTCATAATCAAATGGTCCCTGCTGAGTAAGCACTATGCAATGGTGGGAAAGAAAAACTCTCATCTAAGAGAAGGAAACCCCTGGCAAATCGGGCCCGGGGGCACAGACATCTGTCATGACTGGCTGTGGGGGTATTGGAAAACAAGAGAAAAGGGAAAAAAGAGGGTACATGGAGCCCGGAAAAGCCACAGACTAAGGGAAAGATAAAGCAAAAATGACTTTTTCATCCCTGTCGGTACCGTCACTGCACTGTTTTTTGGAATAATGGAGGCAGGTAAGGAATTTATAGAATAACATGATAATAATTAATTACAATAGCCCAGCCAAGAAGTAATGAATGTATGAACTAGTTTTGTGGCATCATTCTGAGACTGTATGGTTCTAATTGTATATATTAATGTGCACATGAAAAAAAGTGTTACTATACATTTGTTTCATATGCGCATTGAAGGACACATCCTGGTCAAAAACAACTTCCAGGCTTCTCATAGTGTTGCTGAAGGCCCTGATAATGCCATCCAGAGTAAGTGTCTGGTTAACATCATGTTTCTAAGATTTATTAGGGCCGAGTGCATAACCTCAGTTTTATCTGAATTTAGTTTTAGAAAATTACAGGACATCCACGTCTTTATGTCTTAAACTATTAGTTTCATTTTTAGGTTGTCTGGCAGCATAATTGGTGGTCATGGTGGCCATTCTGCTGAAATAAACAACGAAATTAAAATGAGCTGTTGAATTTCTGGGTCCACACCTCTTGTGTTGTAATTAGATTAGGGGAACAAACCTGAGCAGAAGCTTGGACCAGGGGGACGTCACATTCACAGCTGATCAGCAGATGAGAACTGAACTCTCTTTTACATTTCCCCACACTAGAAAAAAATAGTTTAATTTTACTATTAGATCATAATTTAGTAAGCACATGATGGGCCTCATCAGGCCATAAACACATCACATGTCATCAAGTTTTCCATAATCAGTTCCTTTTGACAGATTTTGATAAACATACTCCAAAACTCATGCAGATGGATTTAGATTTTCTTATTAATATTATTATTTTGGGGACATCTACAAATTAGATTTTTTTTTCTACCACACTGAAAGTCCTCTTGCAGAGCGCTCTGCCAAGAGGAAAAACGAATGGGCACTGAAAGGTGCCCATCCAGGTCACTCAGTCACTTCTTGTCACAGATTATTAGGCAGAGGACTCACTCGCAGGACTCTGAAGTTTAGAGAGAAGGTGAGGGTTTATTTACAGTGTGGCACCAAGTGAGAATATCTACATATATACAGTGAGACAGATAACACGGGGCTCCAGGGGGTGGAGGGGGGTCCAAGGGGAAGGTCCAAGGCGGGGTACATACGCTCCTCTTCAACTTAATCCACAACTCACTCTGAATGTCCACTCCAAAATGCTCACGCTCACTCACACACATCCACAGAAATCCAGACGGCCTGTACACAGAGAAAAACAACGTTAGGAGGAAACTCTAGGTGATCACAAGGAATACTTTCAAAGGCTAGGCTACACTGATGCTAGGTAATGTGACGATCCAGCGAGGAAGCAGCCTCTCTTGCCATCTTAAGTAGTCTGCCAGGATCAGTGTAAATGAGCCACAGGTGTGTGTTCAGGGCGGGTTCAGAGGCGGGGAATCAAGGTCCAGTTCCGCCCTGGTGGGAGAGGCGAAGACAAAAAACACACACACCACGACCTCTGCAGATCTTGAGAACCATGACACTTCTAAACTAAATAAAATCTGTAAATGTAGCAGTTCTGTCATTTTATATACAGCATGATAGTGAGATACACATGTAACCTGGTCTCTCTGGTGTTGTGTGTCCCTGTTGAGATGTTGTAGGATAAACAGCTGTGTAGGACAGGCAAACCATCGCAGTTTCCTGCTGACCCTCTCTGTGTTTGTGTTGACCTCTCTGTACGGGATCAGTTTGGTGCTTTGCAGCCTCTGTCCTCATCAGTATCTAATGACAGCGCTCTTCTACTGCCCAGGCGTCTACACTCAGTCTAGGTACAGCACTCTATATGTTTTTTTTTCTGCTGCAGCCTTGAAATTGAATCACTTTAAGCATTAAATAATCATTTCAATTCGTCAATGACAATTTTAATGACTGTTTTTGGTGTGTTTTTCTTGAATTTGTCCTGCCAGTATGAGAAGAAAAGGTGGGTTATGTTGCAGTAATGATTTGTTCTCTTTACTTTTACAGCACAGCACTTTGCTTTACCTGTGCGTGGTACAGCAGCATTGTCGCAGGTGGACTGCTTTACCTCTTGGTGGCACAAGTTCTCAATATCAGCTTTAACGTGACGGAGCGAGAGGCTCAGCTGGCTCTGAGGAACAAAACGGGCCAGAGCCGCCTGTGGGGACTCGTTGTTGACACAGGAGAGTATTCTCGTGGCTTCTATCAGAACTGGGTTGAGTTCCTCACCATGACAGATGCTTCAGCTTCTCCTCAGTCCAGCCTTACTGACTTGGTCTAGTTGTACTTAATGCACTCGGTGACATCGTGGTAATACACTGTTCGTGCTGCATGCATGAAGAATTCGATTTCATTTTTTTTTTCAATACATTCCAGGACTGCGGTACTAATAGGAACATGCTTTTAATGACTGTTTAAAGATGCATCGATGTGTTTGGGGTTTGGATTTTTAGCATCATTTTCTGTTGAAGCTTTTGACCTGGACACATGCAAGACAGTCTGTGGATTTTGTGCCTTTTATAAAATTTAATCGAAGACTGCAGACATTATAGCCTGCCTTTTTATACACGTGCAGAAAGTAAGAAGGAAATATGTTGTCTTTATAAAAAAAAAATAATCTCACTGCATGCAAGTCAAAAAAATCTAATAAACTTCAAAATGATACAAAAAAACCATTAAATGATTCTGGAGTTCAAATCAAAGAAGATAAACCAGAAACAAAACTGCCGGATTCAAGACTAGATAGCTGTCCTTTACTAATTTAATATCCAGTAGCAACGTGGTTTGGCCCTAAGATGGCATCAGAGGGAAAGCCAAAGAAAAGCAAATGGTCACTTTTGACCCGTTCTGCAGACATGCACTCAGTAAATACTGACACCACTGTACTGGTCAAGTTGGAAATTTAAAAAGAAACAAAGATATATTAAAACAATTAATAAGAAGGCAAGAAAAACGAGTTATAGAAGGATCTGCATCTGTGAGAAGAGGCCTAACTAATACAGAACAAAGAGGCTAGCTTAGCTCAGTGTAAGATGTTAAAATAATGTCTAAAATATGTTGCATGTGATGGTTAGAGCAAGAACAAAGTTCGACCCAGTGATGTGTGTGTTGTGTTATGCCTCCCACGGGGGGGATGGCTGTGGGTATCTTTCCCCTTTTTCTCTCCCAGGAGGTGGAAACCTGGGCGTGGCTGCTGGGTATCCGGGTGGAGTCTCTGCCTGTCCTGTGTGGATCCTGTGTGGATAATTGATGGACCACCTCCGGTACTTAAGGACTTAACGACAGCCACCTGAAAGCTCTCCCCGAGCCTCCACCACTCGACCAAGAACCTGTGTGATGATCTATGTTAATGCAGTGTAGAGTTTTGAGTGTATATCTGGTTGGGATGTCTACTTGGTTGTAAATAGTATATCTGGGTGGGATGGCTATTATGTTGTAAATAATTGTAAATAGATGATCAAATAGTGATCACGGGTTGGGTCACCTGATATATCACTGTCACTGCCGCAGCAGTAGGCGTGAGAAGCCGTTTTCTTTTGTTGAACAAGTTTTCTCCTGTTTTTCGTTAGATAGATAGGTAAGTGACTTGTCTTTTGTTTTGGCTTCTTTTTATTTTGGTGTAGGGAAGAGTAGGGATGGTTTTATAGGGAGTTTTGTTTATTGTTTTGGCATTGCTCACTGCCGATGAAAATAAATGGCTGCTTAACTACTTGAAAAAGGTGTCGTTGTTGGGGTTTGTGCGTGGGTGGGAAGTGAGTGGGGCAAATTATTTGTTACGTTTATTTACTTACCGGGACCAGAACGTAACATTGGACACAATAAAATGTGCGTTTTGTGCCTTTCTTCTCTGCAGTGTGCTGCATTATTGTGTGTGTTTTTTAACTAATTTTTTTCGGTCATAACTGTCTCACGGTGCCTTCAACACTGATCTACAAATCTAAACACACATGCCAATCCTTTCTCTAATTATTCTGTTATAGATAATAATAATAATAATTTATGTAAACAGTTAAATCACTGTTCTCAGTCATATAGTGTGAATTGAAAATGAAACCCCATCTATTCTACTGTAATTTCTAGTCTCAATTTTCATTTCACACTGTTCACTAATTAGCATTATTTCTCATAATCCACATTTTGGGTGGAGCACATCAATAAATATTCTTATACCGATACATTTCTTCCATTTGAAGGCATATTTCATCCCTGTAACTTCAGTGCCAGCACTTTTAGCTTTTCCTCTGCTGCCACCCTCAGGCCACTCTGTGCTTAACATTAACAAAAACACCCAATAACATTAATATTAAGTCTGTTGCTCGGTCAGTTTGTGATGTGTATCAATGTCTTGATTCTAGGTTTAAGCAACCAGTCTCAGCAAGGGGTTAAAGTAAGTTTAAAAATACAGTTTCCTTAAAACAGATAGAAATCAAAGAGGGGGGGGAATCTAATCACAAAATCACAAAGAAAAATATCTGTGTCCCTTCACAAAAGAGATGAGTTGGTGGGCTGGGGACAGTTGTGGTTGCTTCCTTAATGGCAGTCCTCCCACAGCTACCACTATGGGTTGAGTTGGTATCACACTTCATCCTCAGTCAGCACTGCCTTGAGATTTGGGCCACAGAAAACATGTCTGCACCCAGAAACACAGAGGAATGAAATGTGTTTGCTCCTTTCAGTCAGTTCACAGCATGTTTAAGACATTTGAGGGAAGTCATTATATCACTGGAAGACTTACCAATATTAAACCTATTCAGCCTTAAATGAGGGAACAAAAACACATAAAAGAAGATTGTGTTGGTGTGTCCATCACTAGTGCCAAGTGCACATAAAGAGATGAAAAAGGGGGACAAACAACATAATTTATGCATCATTTATAGGACTGTACAAAGTGTTAAAGTGAGGCGGAGCAGATGTCGATCAGTTGTCCATCAAAGTCTGGCATTTTAAAAATAGGATAATTTTAAATACAATTTTAAAAAATGTCAGCAAACAAACACAAACTAATGCTTACTTAAGACGACTAAATTAGGACAACTTCTTCATTGTGAGCATTTCCCAGGGAGAGAAAACAATGTGAGACACATTCACTCAAAGTAGGCAACATCACCCACTGCCTACAATGCAGGCAACAGCAAATGGAGCTTTTGTATAGCACAGGAGTTACATTAACACCTCCTGCATCTTCCATGTGAAGTATGGGAAACTGCTGCAGCCTTCTCACAACCAGAGCATTCACAAAGTGATTTGTAATCCTTTGTAATCTTTGGGAATGATTTCATCCGGCAGCCAGCACGCTAACTTGCTGGGCTAGTGTTTCCCTAGCAGTCAGAGGTTACCAGGGGGGTCACTGACTGGCATCTGGCCTAAATGCAACAGTAATTAGGTCACAAGAAGGTAACCCTTATGTTTTAACCAAATTACCAGAAGGCCACAATCTGTGGGTAGTGATCAAACAAGCAAGTTCACTCTGGACCCAGATAGATGGTGGATGGATGGTGTGACACTTTCATTCTTGTCACATAAAAGGTTGTTAGAAGAACCATTGATTACCTTTTGTAGTGAACAAGAACAGATCAAACTTTGAGATTCTTCATCACTCAACAGCAGTGGAAAAAAGATTCCACAAACTTATTTACTTATTATTGTTAGCTTATCCAGGGAATCATTTCAGGTTACTACACGGGGAAGCGTGATTAGGAATCCAGTTTGCGAGCCATGTGTTTTGTCTCTGCGCGTTACTGTCACATCTGCTGACAGCTACATTTGATTCTGTGGTCTCAGTCGCAGAAAGCGCTGGAGTTTAGCCTTGTTTACCACTGTGGATTCAGTGTACTTTGTTTCAAAACCGATTTTTTTTTGTCTCCACTCAAGCTGAAATTTAATTACTACTTTATTTGCTTTCCAATTCTCTGACATCCCAGCTGATTTGTTATTCAAATTTTTGGTTTGTTTTTGTGTGTTTCTCCTGCCAGCTGTTTGCTATATACCTCTCATATGGTTCACTGAATTCTGCCTTTGCATGGTTGTGAAACCATGCATGCAGGTTCATGTGGTGAACCCATCCCCGAACCCGGGTTTTGTCTAGGTGTGTGTGTGTGTGTGCGCTGGCCTCGAGGGAAGAGGTAATCTCCCTCGGCTATATAAAGGAAGTCAGGCAGAACCTCAACAGCACACTTCCAGATCTTCATCCACACTCCCACATCATCATTTCTTCACTCATCATCAGCAGCCATGCATTTACTTCTCGCTCTGCTGGGAGCTGTGCTCTCCTCTCTGATGGTTTCTTCTGAAGTCCAACCTCAGGCAGACTTCAATGTACAGGCGGTAAGACAAATGGCTACATTAGTATGTTTTATTTTACAATATTTATTTCTATAATCATTGTATTTATTTAATTCCCTATATCGTTTGTAAGTCCAGCAGCAATGCATGTTAAACTTGCTTATATGGTTTTGGCTTTTCACTTTTTGACTTTTGTGTTTCATGCTGTGATAAATCTTTTGTTCACTTCCTTCATAAACAAAAGCAATGTAGCTGTCTTCAAAAACAAAGAGAAAGAAGAAGGCGCACATGAAGTGTTTTTCCCCCCTCTGTCTTCCAAAGCTTACGCGAGTTAATAAAACACTTTTTTGTAAAGGTGATCACAGAAAGTGTTTCAAAAATGCTTCAGTAAAGTTTTCAACTCCCGATGCTTTCCTCTTGTGTGCCCACAGATGGCAGGTAAGTGGTACCTGATTGGAATTGCCACTGATGCCCAGTGGTTTGTCAGTCACAGAGCCAGCATGAAGATGGGCACGGCCATGATTACCCCAACTGCTGACGGGGATCTGGAGATGTCATATTCCAGTCTTAGGTAAGTGTGAGGGCATGAGGACAATGGACATTTAAATAAATAGGAATATATATCTATATATCTGTATATAAATATTTATGAAAGACAACATGTGAAAGAATTAATGTTTTAGTGATCTCTTTGCAGCCCTAATGGCTCGTGTTGGAGAATGAACAATCTGGCCAAAAAAAACTGAGATACCGGGAAAGTTCACATACACAAGTCGGCGTGAGTGCACCCACACACAGAAGCACGATTTAACGATCTAGTACATTTGCCTTTTCTGCTTTGATAATTTCATGACCCCTTTTCTGCTGCATTCCCTTTGTCAGGCTGGGGGTATCTCAGTGACTTGCGCATGGTCGACGTGAAGTATGACGAGTATGCCCTGATTCATTCCATCAAAACAAAGGGGAAAGAAAGCTATGTTGTTAACAAACTATATGGTAATATGGCATTTAGCTCTGATTCTACACTCTGCTCAATCCATTTTAACCTGTTCTGCTGGTCGGTAAAGCTATACCTGCTGCAGCAGATTTACATCATCTGTTTTCACAGGGCGTGGTGTGGACCTCAGCGCTGAGGTGCAGGAGAAGTTCATTCAGTTCTCCCTGCAAAGCAGCATCCAGCCTGAAAATATTGTCATCCTTCCCAAAAACGGTACTTTTACCTCTGAGATGTTTTATTTAAAATAACTGCAATCAAGAGTGATGTTATGCACTGATCACTTTTCCATTTTCTTTCCCTTTTCCTCTCTATAGAGCAGTGCCCAGCTGCCTAACCTTGTGTCCAGGTGATCATCTCACCGAGGAGCTTTCACTGTTCTGAAAATCTCACGTCGATGACCTGAGACAGTTTGCTTTTTACTTTACTATCTCTGCTCTTTCGTTATTAAGAGAGCTCATAATATCACAAAATTCTATTCATCACTTTGCATTTATCCACCTGCTGTTATAACCACAGAATTAAAAAGTATGAAATGGCTAAAATCTTTTGATTTACTAAATTTTTAAACTAATACTTTGAATTACATCCATAACAGCACAGCTAAAACCTTCTTTTTATCAAGTCTTTGTATCTACACACTTTGCAAAGATTTAGATACAAAAAATAATAGAAGAACCTGTGAATTAAAAAAATATAAAATATACATAATCACAGAAGATGACCAAAATAATGCACCAGTGTTCTGAATTTGTATCTACAAACAGTTTCCCTTTCTACAGGCAAAAGTACGTAAGTAAGTCGAGAAAACAAGGAGTTCAGCCCTTAATTTTAAAACAGCAGCAGCAGATATACTGTTCATCTTTCATTTAGACGAGACAAAGCAACAGGGGTGACAGACTTTGACCATTTTGTCACAGCACACAGAGTTTATTTGAATCCAAACAAAACACCCACCAAGTCCGAAGTAGATCAGATGAACTGTCGACCAGACAGACTGACAGACAAGCATACAGATTGCTTGAGCCATTAGTGCGATAAAACTTCATATATTTGTTTTCCAGGATTAAAGATCTATTATAACTGGCACGGAATGCAGGCAGGAGAAATCATTAACAGCAAAACACGTTACTAGTACATCTCCTCAGCACTAGTGGTGTCATGGTCTCAAAGCTGTGCAGTAGATAAAAGAATCTGAGGGATGATACAAAGGTGACCAAAGTTACAAACAAATCCAGCTGTACTGGAAATGTTTTCAGAGGTCCAAACTCTTTGGCTTTCTGCAGAGCAAGAATGTAAGAAGTATCCAAGCTAACTTAACTTTAGACAACAGGAGGACAAATGCCTCTTCCCAAAGTTTCCTACAAGTATTTGGTTTATATTTAGAGAAGCAAAGGCTCTTCATCCTGGCAGATGTTCCCTGGTGGATCTCTGTCCTGTGACAGTGGCACAGTATAGTGTATTATAATCAAAGCCACTTCCCTAACCAATTTTTAAAGCTATTTAGCAGATGGACAAAGTGGATGTAGACTCTGTCTGCTGTGTACAAAAGGTTATATGATTAACCACATAGCAGATACTGCACAACAATAGTAGCAGCAGTTCACACAAAGTAACACAGTGCTCAGTGTACTGTAATATTAAAACAGTTGACAGTCTCGACCTTAAGATTTCTATTTGCTGTAGACTAAGCCGGGACAATTAACTTGCCAAAGGACCACTGATTAAAGTTTACTCTTAATAACAGTAGCAGTTTATATGAATATATTGTTTATGTGTGTTTTGCCTACTGGTGCAGCAACAGTCCAGTGCTCCTTAGAAAAATGAACTACTCGTGCCTAAGCTAACAATTTCAGTCACACCGATGTCTTTTATTTACAGAGTTAGCTTAGCAAGACTTTATTTGAAAGTTCAGGATTTTTTGTTCACACTGGCAGCACATTCGGCCACAGAGGTTCAGTTTGGTTCAACGCCCTTTTTGACCCATGAAACAGCAGAAAATGAAACATTCTCATTTCAGCACCCATTTGTTAGCGTTAGCTATTCTGCTGTTTTTCATCATGTCACAGGTGAAATGAAATGATAGTACATTTACTTTGCTTCCTGTAGGAGTGATCATGTCATGTGAGACCGTGTATTACTTATGAGGAAAGCCAACTTTGGGATTCCTAATCAGTCAGCTTTGGAAAAAAAATGTTTGAACTGTGTATGAACAAAGCTCTTCTTTTTACTCTGGGGATGGTACACACTGCACAGTAGTTTTTAGACAAATGAGGGTAAAATGAGACATTAAAGCCTTAAAAGACAAACCACATTTTCGAAGAAAGCATCTCAGGTTAATATCTCTGTCAGGGCGTGTGTTTTGTCTCTGCGACTGTCGCAAATGCTGATAGGTGCATTTGATTTTGTGATCTCTGCCACAGAAAGTACTGGAAGGCAACTACTACGTTGTTAAAAGTAGAAACGTAGTTTATAAATGAATCATGTAACTATAACTTTACTACTTTGCAGCTCCTTAGTTTGTGATTTCTATGATATGAACTTAGATGTCCTGTTATTTGAGTTTTTTTGTTTAGTTTGTGTGTTTTTTACTGTTTTTCTTGGTAACTGTCTGACATTCACCTCTCACACAGTGGATACAATTCTGCCCCTGCAGGAATAAACTTTGTGGTTATGAAACTGACCAAGTGTTTGCATAAAATGTCACATGTTCAAAGCCGTCACAGAACCTGGGGTTTGTATAAGTGCAGCCGTTGGTGGGGAGATAATCTCACTCTTCTATATAAAGAGTCACTGGACAGCAACTTCCAGATCTTCATTTGCGATCTCCTCCATCATCATTTCTCCACTTATCAGCAGCTATGGCTTCACTTCACACCCTTCTGGGAGTGGTACTGTGCTCCCTCATGGTTTCTTCCTCTGAAATCCTACCTCAGGCAGACTTTGATTTACAGGCGGTAAGAATCATTGATAATCATTTTTGTTTTACCACCCATCTATTTTCATAACCATGTCTCTATCTTAGGGCCATGGAAAGGGGGTACTGGAGGTTATCTAACAGGGATAAGCAAGGACCCCCCAAGACAGTTTAGCAGTCTACACGGGAGGCTAACCTTTGCACAATTTACTTTTATAATAACTTCACCATTTATGTTATGTGGTTATGTTTCACGCTGGATTTTGTGTGATAATACATATTCTGTGTTACAATAAACAGCTCTTGTGCTTCTGTCTAATTCTCAATGCTTTCCATTTGTGTGTCCACAGATGGCAGGTAAGTGGTACCGGACTGGAATTTGCTCTAATGCCCAGTGGTTTGTCAGTCGCAAAGCCAATATGAAGACCAGCACGGCCATCATTACGCCAACTGAAGATGGAGGTCTTGAGTTGTCGTTCTTCAGTCTTATGTGAGTGCGAGAGGACAGACAGAGCAAATATCATTTGAATAGCATTAAAATATTTACACTGGAGATTAATGCGATGTCTTTGCGACAGTAATGATACATGTCAGAAAATGGAGAATTTAGCCAACAAGACCGAGGTGCCTGGAAGATTCACATACAAGAGTCGGCGTGAGTACGCCCACAAAGAGAGGAAACGAATAATTTTCCATCATCATCATCCAGTATTATTTTTTCACATATTCTCTTCTGCTTTTTTCCTTTTTGTCAGACTGGGGGTATGTGAGTGACATGCTTATGGTTGATGTGAAGTATGATGAGTACGCCCTGAGCTATTCCTTCAACACCAGAGGGAATGAAACCTTTGTCATTAACAGACTATTTGGTAAAGTTGCATTTAGCTGTGTTCAGTAAACCGTTTAGCAAAGTTACACCCACTGCAGCAGATTTACATCACGTGGTTTCACAGGACGTAGTTTGGACCTCAGCGATGAGGTGCAGGAGAAGTTCAGGCAGTTCTGCTTGCAGACCGGCATCCTTCCTGAAAATGCTGTCCTTCTTCCTAAAAGCGGTACTTTTACATTGGTGGTGAAGTTCTATATAAAAACAGCTTGGAATACAGTGATGTTGTGCACTGATCACCTTACACTTTCCATTTTTCCTTCCACAGAGGAGTGTCCACTTGCCTAACCTTCTGTCCCACCGATCGTCTCACCAGTACTGCATGAAGATCTTACACCATCTGTTATGGAAATGTGCCTGAGCACCATCTTGAGATGTTTTTAACAATAAAAATGCAAACATCGAGAATATTTTTCTTCATTATTCATCCTTTGTATGAAATAAACTGAAGAACACCCATAACAACACAACCAAAATGTATTTCCCCCCCCATTCACACACTTTATAGTATTCAAGCAATCAATCAATCAATCAGTTTATTTATAAGCACATTTAAAAACAACAGAGGTTGACCAAAGTGCTATACAAAGCAAAAAGTAAAACAAACACACCTAAAGAGAACAAAACAAAAACTCAGTCACAATTAAAAGCTAGGGTAGGGAGTAGAAATGTGCTTTCAGACGGGATTTAAAGTGGTGGAGACGTCCTAATTTGAAGAGGCAGACTGTTCCAAAGGGTCAGGCAAACGCTTGGTCTCCTTTTTGCTTTAGTTTGCTTTTAGGAACAATCAGAAGCAATGTAACAGCTGACTGAAAAGTTCTATTGCAGTGTTTTTAGTTAAAAGATCAGAGAGCTACGAGGGAGCTAATCCACTTACAAACAAGCAATAAAATCTTAAAATCAATTCTAGAACATACTGGAAACCAGTGTAAACAAGACTGGGGAAATATGGTCACGTTTACGAGTGCCTGTCAAGAGTCGGGCTGCAGCATTCTGAACAAGCTGAAGACGAGAGAGCAGAGAGCATTCGATTGTTAAAAACAAACAGTGGTCACATTATAAGTTAAATGCATATTCAAGCTTTTATTTACATCCGTTTACAATTCACTGAGTTTTATTTTATGTGATTAAATGATCTTAGATCATCCACCTGTAGATGAAGGTCAGAATGACTCCTTGTTTTATCTGCCCATATTGTGGTTTTAGTCAACAAACTAAAGGAAATATGCTACCGAGTGGTGAGGTCAGAGTACCTCATAGCACACCAGTTGCTTATACACACACACACACACACACACACAATTTTAACAACTTGTTTCTGTGTCACGGACCCGGTTCCGGGGACTTGGGGTTCGTGAACAGTGTGGACCTTTATTGTTATTTGTGTATTGGATGTATGTTTGCTGCACTGTGCTCTTGTGTTCCATGCTTGTGTGTGTGTGTGTGTGTGGGTGTGTGTGGCTGGAGGATGAAGGACAGCCACCTGCAGGCCTGATGGGTGTGGCCCTGCCAGCTGCTGGTCACGCCTAGCTTCCCACACACCTGCTTCTGATCAGGATCGTCGGGGGAGCTACTTAACAGAACGATGGAGCTTCCTCCGGCGCAGGATCGTTGAGTTAGACTCCACGTCAGTGTCTCTAGTGTTGTTAAGTGCATGCCTGCCGGAGTTGGTGCCATAACGGCTGTGTCTGTTTTTCCTCAGGAGGACAGCGGAACACAGGACTGCAAGACACACGGGGTGT